CGGGTCCCAGTGAGGAGATACAGCCCGGGTCCCAGTGAGGAGATACAGCCCCGGTCCCAGTGAGGAGATACAGTCTGAGTCCCAAGGTGTTTCATTACATTTCTGAATGGGTTGATTAGAAATTATAGAGAGTGAGTAACTAGGACTTTACTTCCAAAGATTGAGAGATTAGTGGGAAGGGAGACGGAAAGTGAATCTGTAGGTGGTGACAGAGGCCAGGGAAGACGCTGAAAGGTGGACAATGGCTAAGCTGATGAAAGTGGAATGCAGCAGATAGTTACAAGGAGAAAGTGTGAGGTCAAAGTTGAATAGACCTAGTGAAGGAGCATGCATTGCGAGAGCAAGACCGTTAGCCTCTGAGTTTAAATGTCCCAGGATCACTCTCTGTTCTTAACATCTGAAAGGATTTAAAACTTATGCAAAGCCATTCATACCAGTCAGACAAAACAGCATCTACTTACAGTTGTAAAGGCTGCAGTTTTTGATTTTGTCCTGGGCAATCAACCACCCCATTGGAATAATCCAACCAGTTCGGTTAAGAGCTGTGATGCATGATTTCTTGCCTTTCAGGGTGTCCCAGGTCAAAGTTTGATCCTTCACAACAGCCACTATATACATAACTATATACACAAGTGAAACACAGCAGCAGTCAACAATGTATGCATGGTCTTTAAGGTAAATTGAGAAATAGATCAGAAAGGATTAAGGTTCAATGGATTCAATTATTTTCAGGCTGTTTTTTTTTTCATTCTTTACATATCCAGAAGTGCTCTTACACAACTGAATAGATTTTGTTTCCCATCACTAAATCAACCGTGGTATATTTTTTCCTCTATTAATCATCCACCAGTAAATCACCCATGTTCTCTGATTAGCTCATGTATGTGCAAAGCCCATTACGGGTAATGCAGACCATCGAAGATGAGAGAGGGGTAGGGTGAGAGCGAGGGGGCTAAATCAAAATGGAGTTGGAGAGGGAGATAAAACACTCTGACCCCACGGTGCCCACCTCTCTCGAAAGGCACCGAGGCTATTGTTGGACATTGTGCGCTCCCTCTCCAAGGACATGTGGGCACAAACATTACCATTGCCAGGTTGTAGAGTCAAGGCTTGTCATTCCTTTAGAATTGAAGATGAAGGGTTGAGGTGTTTAAGGTAATTTGATAGGGCCGATAGAAAAAATTATCACAGGTGTGAGAATCCTGAACAAAGGGTCACAACCTTAAATTTAGGGCTGGGTCATTTGGTGTGGCACCAGATTCTTCAAATCTACATTCTGTTGCCAAAGGACAAGCTTGTTATCATGAAAGATGAAACCTATAATCCTAAGAATTTGAATAAGCAGAGAGCCTGATTGGTTGCACAAAATGCATTTCTTAAATAGCGGCCACTAATCAGTGGAATAACTACTTTAGACACAGCGACAAGAGGCAGGAAGTCAGACCAGTTCAACATTTTGGAAAAAAGCCTGGGAATTGGCTTGCATTTAGACATCCTTCCCCAAGTCTCCTCTGAATGCAATTGATGTTGTTGAACTGGCCCCAGTCCCAATGAAAGGGATACAACCAGTACAAAAGTGGTGGGCAAAAGGGCATCTTCCATGCTGTATGGTTCCATGATTAACCCAGCACCATCGAGGAATATGCCCCAGTCCCTGAGAGGAGGCAAACTTCAACTGAATTCAATGTACCAAGGTTTGAGCACTTTATTGAAATTCCTGTAAATACTTATTATAAAAACATAACTTCTGAAACTCACATGGCTCTGTGTATGGTGCTGAGCTCCTGCAAGGTTCAAGATTCCCTGTAGATTACAAAAAACGTAAAGAGGATTAACACATGCTCAGATTGAAGGGATGATCTCTAACCCCTGCTTCTTTTTTCTTTAGCAATGAAGTGGTGACTGGGATTGGGGACTGGGTTGGGTCTGTGTCAGGGAGTTGAGTTCCTAAACCTCTCCAGCTGCCGCCACAACCCAGATATCGTGCTGCAGATTGGTGACAGACAGTGGCTAGACCTCAGTTAAGTGGATTTGCTCCAACTGGTCCAGACTGGGACTGTTCCTGGAGTGAATCCAGGAGTAGGTATATGAATGATGATGTAAATGATAATGCTAGTCAGAAGAGAAGAGAAGAGAACAGAAGAGAGTGAGAGGGTAGGGTAGCTAGATCCTTGTGATGGAGCAAGATAGAGAAAAAAATGTTCTACAGAAACCGATATTTCAGTATATTCGGTGAAGAAAGAGTGTTACATATTAAAAGGAGTGACACAGCCTTCTTTAGAGGAAAGATGCTGAGGAAAGTTTAGATATTGAGTTTATTGCCATCCATATCGTCCGAGTGTGCAGGTTACATAGTGGTTAACATGATCAAGCATGTGTGAATACTTAGTCTCAGTTCTAAATAGAAGGGTCTTGCAGTGTAATTAAGATGTAGTTTGTTGCATCTCTGCAACTATTTATAGCTTATAAGAACAGGAATTAGGTTTACATTTGCTATAAAGACTGCCTTAAGCCTATCTCTACAAAGAACCTAACCTGCTCTCTCAACAAGTCCTAATGACATTAGCATCGCGGGTGGTGCTTATTGCACTCAGACAAGAATTAACCCCTTCAGACCCATGTGCAAGACAAGGGATCAGTAGCAGTTCAATAAGATAAAGCAGTCTCTAAGTGACACCCGATATCCTAAAGAAACCAAGAGGGTACAGAGTCCACGACAGGACAAGCAGCAAGTGAGAGTCTGTGGAAGAAGGACAATCCATAGACTTATGTGCAACACTCTTAAGGCAGAGTTAAAACAGAGTTCTCTCAAAGCGTTCCAAGCACTCAATGGCACTGCCATGTTCTCCATTTTTACTCTTAGCTATCAAGGGAAATCAATGAGTTACTTGCTTCACCTGAGTGCAGCTGTTCAGCAGGGCTGACAGATATTGCAGCCTGAAAGGTTCCTGCAGGGTAAAACCCAAGGCAAAGGTGCTGCTGATAGCCCCTGCCAGACAGTGTATATGGTGGAGACATAATCACACCCTTTATGAATGGAGTTTCAGCCATAGCCAGTGCTCCTGAATCAAGTACATGTAGGAGTCTCACTGGGTGGCACTATCCGTGGTGTAGCTGTACATCCCTCCAGGGCTACTGCTCTTATTCCAAGTAACAAAGTAACTGTGCCCTCCCCCGAATGCCAGGAGACAGGTTGGGGGGCAGCTTTTGAGAAAACCATGTACAAGCAGCTGGTATTTTACACAAACAACAGCCTCAAAAAAAAAGATTTGAACCTCTCCCTTTGAACTTATACCTGTTTCCAGAGTGGCACCAAGGCAAGACAGGATCCCATTTCATATGGCTGGTGGGGAGACTCAGTCTAGGTGAGGATAAGGACCACTACGTGTGGGGGAAATGCCACCAGCACATTGGCTGATTGTGGAGGGCTCTGGGGAGTGGAGAGGAACAGTTGTCCAATCAGTTACTGACACATTATCAGATCAGTTGATGGTAGGAAATTGAGATTGTTAATGTCTGTGAACACAGAGAGAGGAGGGTAATTCTGAGAGTCAGTGCAGGGACATACCTACCTTTGTTATAATATTCAGTCATGACTGGGACCAGACCACACTTTTCTGCAACAAGCATTCTTGCACTGTGCAGAACAACAGCATCAGCTTCAGCCAACTGCAAAACAAAAGACTCTGTTAGTGAGCTGACTTCCTCAGAGTAGACGCCTGCTTCTTTCAGTGAGTTTGTTACATGTTCGTGAACTTGTCATTGGCCCCTCCTTAGTTGGGAATATGGTTTCATCTCAACTCTGCATCTCTTTGATGTTCTTCTTCCCCTGATTCCAACTGAAGCCTCTCTCTCGCTCACAAAGGTGGAAGATCCTGGTTTACAACTCTGCTGCCAGCCACAATAATGGAGAGTTGATTTCCTGACTTATGTTTGCAGATCGGTCCTCAGTGCTGAGGGAGAAGTGTGAGTCAGGAAGCTGCAGTCAGAGCCAAGAGGTCTTTCTGAAGATCCCTGTAAAGTGGAATCTAGGGAGACCACAGTCTCCTCGCTTCACTCTGTCAAAAGGTATTAACACTTCCACTGTTGTTGGCTCATTGTTTTGTTCAGTCATGAGATGTAGAACTCACCAGATGACCAATTGCATTTATTGCCCACCCAAATATACCTCCACTAACACTCATACTTGGCCATCTCGTAGGGAGTTAAGATTCAATCATATTGCTGGAGGTCTGGATTCATTTATAGACTCGAACAAGTGTGCATGGCAGATTTAATAGTGACCCAGATGGGTTTTTTGACAATTCTGTAGCTTCATGGTCGCCATTACAGAGATTTTATTTTTAAATTCAAAATTCAGTAATTGATAAATTTGAGCTTGTGTCTCAGAATTGAACTCAGTTTTCCAAACGTGGCTGAGCCAATGTCCTGTACAGCCGCAACATAACTTATTAACTCCTACAGTCAATGCACTGACCAATAAAGGTATGTGTACCAAATGCCTCCTTCACCACCCCATATATCTGCAACTCCATTTTCAAGGAACTATGCACCTATACCCCAAGGCCTCTTTGTTCAGCAACACTCCCCAGGACCCTACCATTAAGTGTATATAAGTCCTGTCCTGCTCTGCCTTACCAAAATGCAGCACCTCACATTTATCTAAATTAAACCATCTGCCACTCGTCAGCCCATCAGCCCACCTGATCAAGGTCCCATTGTACTCTGAGATAACCTTCTTCACTGTGCACTACACCTCCAATTTTTGTGTCATCTTCAAACATACTAACCAAGTTGATTTACTTCAGTCAACTAAAATATAGAAAGGAATATCCAATCCTAGGTGAGGTTATGCCATCTTTGCCTTACTCTCTTGCTATCCTGTAGGGAGGTTTCCTTCCTTTTTAATATAAAAACCTCAAAAGTCTATTGATAGTTCATGGCGTGTCAGGGCCAACCGAACCTTGATACAAGTTCTCCCTGTATTTACATTTTCCCAACTAATTGTTTCCCTCGCAATACCAATATATCCCTCACAATCCAAATATAATCCATCACATTCCATATATACGTTCAACATTTCAAATATAGCTGTCAAATTCCATATATCCCTCAGATTCAAGTTTACTCCCACTTTCCAGAAACACTTGCATATTCTAAATGTACTTCTTACATTACAAATATTCCAATTATCAATATGCACCCGTCAGATTCCAACTATGCCTTTTCAAAATTCAAATGTATCCTTACATTCTAATGTATACCCCACACTCCTTTCCACCTCCTCTCTAATTTGTATAATTAAAGCTGACGAAACAAATCATTTCTCTGTGTCTTGGAAATATGTAACATTTCCATTCTAAGTTGGAGTCAAAATCCTTATTCTTGACCTCTTTCAAAGCCCTCCATATCTTTATTTAAGAGAAGGCTAGCTAAGATTCAATCACTTTCCTCTGCAAGTGTGTCAACCTCATTTAATATTTGACGCTTCAGGATTGGCTGGACAAACCAGTATGTTTCACATTTTATACAGTGACCTTAGTAAATATTTGACATTTACCGCGACTTTCTGAATGCAGTCTTCCATGGAGTCAGCCTGGACACAGCTGACTGATGTCCACTCATTGCACTTAGTCTGTTCTTTCTCACTAGTAGTGCACCAACGTAATTTATCACCGGCCGATGCAGTGACCTCACCTGAGGAATAGGAACACATTGACGTCGGTACCATCCCTTCATTCTTCATTTTTAGTAAAATGGATTATTAACATCTCCCACCCCATAAGACTGGAATCCCTGACTGTAGAAGCTGTTCAGGTCAGGTCAAGTAATGGGGGAAATTGGATTGAGTTGCGCGATTAGTTTAGGTCTAGGGGTTGGTTCTGTGGGAGAGGTGATAGGGAGTTAGGTGTTAAGTTACACAGTTAATAATTCAGCTAAGAATTAAGCTACATCAAAGCTTCAACTGCAATATTTCTAAGGTAAGCACCCATGGTGTGTATGAAATCAGTGTAAGGAACATTGGCCTGGATTTTTCGATGGTTGAGTAATCATTGGACCAGCACAGTCTGAAGTTGTGAATTAGGACCATGCGGAATCCCAGACTACAGCAGACGCCGTGGGAATTGGCTGAGAAATTGCAGGTTCCAAATGGCAATTTCACCATGTTCTGGAGCTCCCAAAGAAAAACCCATAATGTTGAAGAATTCAGAGGGCTCAGCATCTACTAACTTAACAGTTGTCAAGGAAACCTTAGACAATTAAAAACCTAGTTTAACTCATGGTTAGCTATTAAGCTTACCCCCAACTTGTCATTCTACACTGTACACCCCACCCCCACACAACTTCCCAACAAAAATTGCAGAACTCAGCATTAATGTAAAATATAGGAGCAGAGTGGTAATTTTTTTATTCACTGGTAGGATGTGGGCATCACTGGCTGGTCCAATATTTATTGATCATTCCTAGTTGCCCCTTGAGAAGCTGGTGGTGAGCCACCTTCTGGAATCGATGCAGTCCATGTGCTGTGGGTAGACCCACAAAGCCCTCAACGAAGGAGTTGCAGGATTTTGCCCCAGCCACAGTGAAGGACCGGTGATATATTTCCAAGTCAGGATGGTGAGTGGCTTGGAGGGGAAAATTGCACGTGACGTTGTTCCAATATATTTGCTACCCTTCTTCTTAGTCTGACTATGATTATCAACCCTCAGAATATCAGCGCAGTGTGCAAATCAGCTCATCAAAGGTTTTAACTTCAAGAACAATTACAGTCCACCATACACACATCAGGACTTCTGAGGTGTGCAATTGCAACTTAAATGTAGTCCATCATCACTCTTTATAATAACACATCAAGGCCAATATTTTCTGTTCAACCATCAACATTTTTACATGCAAAGAGTATAATGTTTTGCCTCTGTTCTGGGCCTTTGATAATTTGATAAATACAAATGGCTTCTCCATGGATGGACATTACTTCTTTTGCAAATATTCTGACAGGATCCCGAATGTGTAACTTGATCCCTACAGAGCAAACTGATACTAAAACGTGAGCTGCCTATAAAAATAAACATAAGTCTACAAGATTGGGAATGACTTACCAGTAATTCCTATAACCAGAGCTATGTACAGCAGCATTATCCTGCCTGACATCTTGTAGGAGTGTTGAAAATGAGGAACAATGTGTCTCTGGCAGTCCTCAGGAGGTCTTAATGCTCCACAGTCACTTTTAAGCAGTTCTGGAGTGATAGGCACAGAGTTGACAAAGCTGGTCTCTGTTGAGTAAGTGTTTCACAACAATTTACCAGAATAAATCAACCTTTACAATTTAAACAGACTATATATGTTTTGGGAAATCTGAATAATTATTTGAGGTTTGTTATTTCCAAACATTACACTAACTTAGTCATGGTAAATTTGGAAAGATTGCGCAAAGTGTATTCAAGAACTGATTTCCCAACTTTACCTTTCCTCATGTTCCCCTGAAACTGTTAACTCTTTATTATCTTTCCAATAAATTTTATCCTAGTTTGCACTGATCTCAGTCCACCCACAAGCAGGATTAATCCCATTGGGCTGGGGAAGGGAAATATTTGGCAGAGTTCTCATTGCCCTGTGTCTCCTTGCAACAGAAGTTCCTACAGGTGGCAGAAGTGAGGGAGGACACTGAGCAGAGTAGCTGGATAACAGGCTGTCTCTGGGGCAAAGTGTGACTCTGGGGAAAGGAGGCCTGAACGGGAGAACCATCACACTACTAAAGCATTTCCTCAACTAGGTGTGAACCACAGACTTGATCCCATTTAAGTATTGGGTCTTTCACGTTTTACCTTCATTTTCCTTCACGTTTGTCGTGGTTTAAGATGGCGGTAGAATTAGACACTCTGGCCGGAGCTCCTCTGCTCTGTTCATTCTTTTTCCTTTTTTTTCTCTCTTTGTTTTCAAACTTTGAACCTTATTTTGCCGGACGTGAATGGAAGAGATCAGAGGTCGTGGCGAGTCCTGGAGGTGGTCCCAGAGGCAAGGCCCAGGCCAGGCTGGCACGGGGACACCGAATGCAGGAAGCAAGGCCCTTGGGGACTGGAAGTGAGGCCTTGAGGTCTGAAGCCCAGTGTGCTCTAGAGTCTTAGCCCAGGGCGTTCTAAAGGCTGGCATGGACTTGGTGAAAAGACTAAACTTTGAGTACTTTTTGAAAAGAAAACTTCTTTATCCTTTATTCTTATATTGAACTTCTTTGTATGATTCTCTCAAGTTTGTAATATTCTGTACCTAGGTAACTAAGATGGTGCCAAAGCAACAACATTACAAACTTTTCACCACATTCTTTCGAGAGCACGTGACCATAAAGGTGTCTTCAATTCAATGAGTTGGTTCCAGTGGAGTGAAGAATCCTTGCTTCATGACCTTTGGGAGGATAAATTCTCCAATCAATTGATTTTATTTTTCTTATTGGAATAGAGAGGTGTTGCCAGAATGATAAGTTTCTTCACACAAATGACTGTTCTTCCATATTTCTCCTGTTTTCCATCCCTGCAGTCTTCCAGCTATCAAAGCCCTTCCTCAGTCATAGAGCCATAGAATTTTATAGCACAGAAGGAGGCCATTCGAACCATCTTGTCTGTACCATTAATTGTTTATCACCTCCATAAGTCATTGGTTATTGCATCCCTGGCAGGCCTCCTCTAAGTCCTAGTCCAGAAGCTAGGTTTATATTTTTACATTCATTTTTAATCGTTTAGGTTTGCACATTGTTAACTCTGTCTTTTTGAGTCAGTCTTTGGAGACGGAGAATGATTTTCTTCCAAAGTGGAGTTGTGAGCACTGAGGTGACTGATCTAAGTCCAAGACTGGATCCACACACCCTGCCATGGGGTGAGGTCGGTGATGTTTGAGGAGGAGAGTGGTTGGGATTTTTTTACACTCAGATCTTGTTTTCGCACTCCTTCTGCTGTCTGAGTTTGGCTTCCAGCTTACGCCTTCCAGAGATGTTCGAGATTGTTAGCACCTCCCTGAATGCTTCTTCACCAGTTTGGGGAGTTTTGTTCAAGAGATTCTCAAGAGTTGCAGGGGATGTTGTATTTGTTTTTCAAAGAAGCTTGGAGGATGTCCTTGAATAGTTTTCTCTGTTTCCCTAGTATCTGCCTTCCATGGAAAAACTCAGAACAGAGAGCATGTTTTTATTTCCAAATTACGCCTATACATCCTCATTTAACAATCACAGTTTTAGTCTTTGTCTATTTACAGGGGTCAACTAAATCCCCAGTTAATGTTCACCTCATGAATGTCATTAATCAATTTATGAAATACAATAATAGTATCATATGTAACATATAATGTACAATATGCTCGAAGCAATTTGTTCCACAAATCTCAAGCTAATCTAAAATTGCATGTTTCTATCCTATACCACACTAAGTCCTACTTGTACATCAACCCTGTGCTCGTTGAGCTACATTGATTGTCTGTTCATCAGCATTTTTAAAATTCATTTGTGGGATGTGAGCGTCGCTGGCTGGCCAGCATTTCCTGCCCATCTCTGTTTGCCCTTGAGAAGGTGGTGATGAGCTGCCTTCTTGAACTTCTGCAGCGCACCTGCTGTGGGTTGACCCACAATGCCCTTAGGGAGGGAATTCCAGGATTTTGATCTAGTGACACTGAAGGAATGACGATACATTTCCAAGTCAGGATGGTGAGTGGTTCAGAGGAGAATTTGAAGGTGGTGGTATTCCTGTACGTCTGCTGCCTTTGTCCTTCTAGATGGAAATGGTCATGGGTTTGGAAGGTGCTGTCTGAGGATCTTGGGTGAATTTCTGCAGTGCATCTTGTATATAATATATACTGCTGCTACTGAGTGTCTGTAGTGGAGGGAATGGATTTTGGTGGATCTGGTGCCAATCAAGCCGACTGCTTTGTTCTGGATAGTGTCAAGCTTCTTGAGTGTTGTTGGAGCTGCCATCCGGGCAAGTGGGGAGTATTCCATCACACTCCTGACTTGTGCCTTGTGTATGATGGAGAGGATTTGGGGTGTTAGGAGGTGATTTACCCTTTGCAGTATTCCTAGCCTTCAAGTTTGACATTCTCACTCTTGTATTCCTTTGCCCTCCCTCTCAGTGCCAGAGATACAGGTCCTCCTTAACTTCCTTTCTCTGATTCCCCTGTACGTTACAACCTCTCCACCGTCAGCCCTAGCTTCAGTTTGCCAATCCCACTCTCTGGAATTCTCAGTTAAACCCATTTGTCTCTCCACTTCCTTTAAAGACCTTTCTTAAAGGATAAACATTGACACAGAATTTGATTGCCCCTATGAATATCTCTTTTCCCGACATACCTTCTACTTTTATTCTCCCTTGCATTTTTTTTCTGTGTTAAACACTCTCACTGTTTTGATTTGTGGCTGTTAATTGATCCCGCTGAAGATCAAAGCAAACACTGTTCTCTAATGGTTTGCTTCCAAGAAATGCAAAACAGGATGAATGTAAATTTATTAAAGTTAGGCACAATGGCTGGAAATTTCCTCAGGGTCTCTGGCCACAGTAAAGTGCCTAGGATTGTAAGGAGAGCACTTAATTATACGGGAATCCCATTGAAATTTCAGCTACCAATGGGGTGATATTCACAGGACTGTTACGGATCAATGAACATTTGGGGAGTCTGACGTGTAGCTGGAAGAAATGGTGAGACCAAGTTAGAAGTTCATTAAAGATGGTTTAACTTGATACTGGAATGCAAGGGTTGGTTTATGAGGAAAGGTTGGACAAGCTGGAATGTCTTCCACTTGTGTTCAGAAGAATTAAGGGAAACTTGATTGAAGTGAATAAGATCTCAAATGATCTCAACAAGGTGGACATGGAAAGGATGTTTTCGCTTGTAGGTCAGTCCAGAACTTTAGGGGATGATGTTAAAATTAGGGATTGCAATTCTAGGACAGGAATGATGAGGATATTGTTTCCCTGAAGGTTGTGTGATTTCAGAACTCTTTCTTCCTCAGAAGGCTGAAAGGCAAGGTCATTAATTGTTTTTTTTCATTGGAGCTAAATAGATTCTGAAGAAATGTCACTGGACCTGAAGCAACAATTCTGATTTGTCTCCACAGAAGCTGCCAGACCTGCTGAGTTTTTCCAACAATTTCTGTTTCTGATTTCGAACACCCGCAGTTCTTTCGATTTTTGTGTTTATTTAGATTCTTGTTTGGGAAGGGAGTCAAAGATTAATCAGGGGTAGCTGTGAATGTGGAATTTGGAACATAAGCAGATCAGCCATACCTGTTCTGAGCTGGAAAGGTACTTGCAGTGGGATGGGAAGGATTAAAAGCCCATGGTGCACATCGGCAAAATGTTTACTTTGCTTCAGTATTCACCAGTGAGAGGGACCTTGATGTTTGTGAGGACAGCATGAAACAGGCAGATATGCTCAAACAGGTTGATGTTAGGAAGGAGGATGTGCTAGAAATTTTGAAAAACATGAGGATAGATAAGTCTCCTGGGCCAGATGATATATACCCAAGGTTGCTACAGGAAACAAGGGAAGAGATTGCTGCCCCTTTGGCAATGATCTTTGCGTCCTCACTGTCCACTGGAGTAGTACCAGATGATTGGAGGGTGGCAAATGTCATTCCCTTGTTCAAGAAAGGGAATAGGGATAATCCTGGGAATTACAGACCAGTCAGTCTTACTTCTGTGGTGGGCAAATTATTGGAGAGGATTCTGAAAGACAGTATTTATGATTATTTGGAAAAGCACAGTTTGATTAGAAATAGTAGCATGGCTTTGTGAGGGGGAGGTCGTGCCTCACAAGCCTTATTGAATTCTTTGAGGATGTGACAAAACACATCGATGAAGGCAGAGCAGTGGATGTGGTGTATATGGATTTTAGCAAGGCATTTGATAAAGTTCCTCATGGCAGGCTCATTCAGAAAGTAAGAAGGCATGGGATTCAGGGAAATTTGGCTATCTGGATACAAAGCTGGCTGTCCAATAGAAGACAGAGGGTGGTAGTAAATGGAAAGCATTCAGCCTGGAGCTCGGTGACCAGTGGTGTTCCCCAGGGATCTGTTCTGGAACCTCAGCTCTTTGTGATCTTTATAAATGACTTGGATGAGGAAGTGGAAGGGTGGGTTAGTAAGTTTGCCAATGACACAAAGGTTGGTGGAGTTGAAGACAGCATGGAGGGCTGTTCTAAGTTGCAACGGGACATTGACAGGATGCAGAGCTGGGCAAAGAAGTGGCAGATGGAATTCAACTCATAAAAGTATGAAGGGATTCATTTTGGAAGGTCGAATTTGAATGCAGAATACAGGGTTAATGGCAGGATTCTTGCCAGT